TAAACACAAAAGAAAAGGGAGGGCCAAACTCCAAAGGCTATAATACACGACCAAAAGACTCCTCCCCTCTCAATCACATTGATAATGCAACATCTGAAAAGAGCACATCGCCTTTTTCTTTCTTTCTTTCTTCTTCTGCATTATCAAAGCCATTGTTATCTCACACTCACAGTCGAGATGCTTTAATTTCTGTGGTCCTTGCACTTAGTTCCGACAACATGAACAACCCATATGGCCCCAAGGAAAGCCCATCAATTATCAGAGCTTTAATGAGTTAAAAAAGAGCCGCCCATGTTGGCACCAAAGGTTGCATATATATATAGAGAGAGAGAGAGAACCATCACCTTCACGACTTCATGTTTTATGTCCATATATATATGTTGATGATTCTATGCATATCCCTTCCATATCGGTTTGGTGGACCCTAGCTTGATGTTGTCATCATCATTCATCATCCATGCATGGTTCTCTGAAATTTGAAATATCTCTTCTGTAGCTTTAAATTCGCCTATCTGTTAGATAGGAGCATGAGCCTAACTGTTCATGGAGAGAACAGGAGTTCCAGAGAGCTCTTTATGAATTATGATCTCCACAAAACACACATCTACATCTATCGACTGATGTTATCCACTCATTGGAACTCATGTTGCATCCACCAATGCGCATGGCCACACGACAGGAGTTCAGGAGACAGTGTCGTGTTCAGGACACCTAATTGGAGAGGGATGGGAACGATGAGAAAAAACGACCTTTCCCATTCGATGAGGAAAGATATCAAATAGCTAGATTGCAAATTTGGCATTGGCAGAAAGAGAGAGAGAGACCAAACACCGGCTTAGAGAATTAGGGTTTCCTACGATGGTGACGCTTTTGGTGTAGGTGAACAAAGACATTCAGGACTCAGGAGGAGTAGTATCTCAAAGTGGTTCAATCCAATTGAATTCAATTCAACCCCACCTGGTCCCCCCTCATCAGGCCTCACCCATCCCCACCCCTTTAATGGCAAAGAGGGGTTTGCTTGAATGAAGGGTTGCTGTTGTTAGGGTTGGGGAAGGGAGAGATTAGATAAAGGATAGAGGGTCGATGTTGTATGTGTGTGTGGGGGGGGGGGGGGGGGGGGGGGGGTCCATCTCAGTGCAACCACAAAGGTACTTGGCCTTTAATTAAAACCCAATTTACTTCAACAAATGAGCAGATGGCCAGATGGGTTCAGCCTAAGTCCTCTAATTAAGCTCATTTTAGATGAGAGCTGGGGACAGCGACTTGTCTTGGAATGGCAAGATGGGTAGAATTATGGGGATGTGCACAGTTAAGGCTGGGAATAATTGCAAAATGGGTCAAGCATGCACGAATAAAGCAGTCTGTGTGTTGCAGAGAGACTCCCATATATCATTAAATTACTATTTCAGCTTAACACTCATTTAAATCTCAAGATACCCAGAACACAACATCATCCAAATTGAACAAGAAAGGAGAGAGAGAGAGTAAAAGACCTAAAGTGAGGTAAGACTCTCTCCCTCTCTCCCTTCCACTCACACAAATACAAATATAGAACCACAATAACCACCTATCCTTACACATGAGAGATTCAAAGTATATGAACGGTTAAAAATAACACATAGAGGTTCAATCACTGAGCCAGTAGTAGTCCTTGAAAGCAGTGAAATAAGGAAAAAGAAGTTGACAGAGAAGTCCTCGTCCCTTCTGAATATGACGATTACGTCTTTTTCTTCTCCATAAATCGATTGATGTGAGCCCCCATATGGTATATATATGTACTCCCTAAAACTACACTGTTGTTGCTAGTGTTAAAATAAAGAAAAGAAAAAAAAAACAACTCAAATCAGTACACATATAGTGCAGAACACTCTTGTTCCAAATTAAGTTCAATAATTAGGTAAACCAAGATACGCATTCATGTTTTACCAAAGAAAAAAAAAGATATGCATTCATGTAGTAGACACATTAAATACAAGGAGACACAGTACTGGAGCCTAAATTAAACCCCAGCTGAATCAGTTCATAGGTACCCGATTGTGTATATTACTGGCCTAAATTCAAGCCCCCCTCCATTATCTGATGAGTTTAATCTGAGATCTTCTAATCCAGAGTCAACCAGATCATGATTGAATTAAATTAACTTTGTAAATGCTGGTAGATTCCAGATGGAGACTCTAAACCCTCTTATATATATATATAGATACAGCTTGTCCCTGTCCTCATGACACACTAGACTAGGACTTCTCTTATATAAGCCTATACTAGGGCTTTGAAGAAAGATAAAGACAAGACAAGAAGCCTACTGTTGATCATGGTACACGTTTTGAAATTGAAGAATTAGGAGTGAAGCTAAACTAATAACAATGGGAAATCAAGGGCAGAGAAGGGATAATGTGAGTGAATCATGCAAAATAAAAAGTATAGTGAGTTACATGTCAAAATGCTAGAACAAACAAAGAAGTAAGGAAAAAGAAGGAAGAGACTACGTACTTTGTTACCCAACAAGGGTTTAGAGATGATTTTTTTTTTCCATCTTCTCCAGCCCATTCGTGTAATCTGATTAACATTTCCAGGGACCACCTTGCAGAGTCCCTGCAGCAGATATAAAACAACCAACAGCTATAAAGAAACAGCACCAACTACTAGTACCTGGAGAGAGAGAGAGAGAGAGAGACTCACCAATGAAGTAGTTCGTCACTTCTCTCTCATCCTTGCAACTTACAACCTTGGTGTTGACTGATGGATACACGTACATGCAATAAGAGAGATGGAAAGAGAGAGAGAGAGGGAAATCAGGAAGTTGCACCTTCCTTATCCTACACACCCAAGAGAAAAAGAAAGATGCCAAGGGATTTTTTTTAATAGTCCCCTAGTGTTTAAATTTGATGGTTAATTTTCTTAGTAACCCCTTTGCAGTTTTCCTTAAAATTTTAAGGTTTGCTGCAGATATATATATCCCCTTGTATATGTAGAAGGTTCTAAAGCAATAGATGATTAGACATTATACGAGTTAGATGGCCCTACTTACTCTCTCTTAAATAGGGTTCCTCTTTATGGTTTTCAACGCCAAAAAAAAAAAAAACTAATTAATATGGTTGGATATAACTTGATCAACTACAAGATTGAGGAAAAATCCTTAATTTTATTTGGTGGTCATAGGCATCTAATCAAAGGTTGGGCCTGTGTCTAGTAGATCTCCTACATGTTACCCACAGTTTGTAGGGTTCACATATTGTATTCCACCAGTTGTCTCAAATGTCTCAAAGTACTCTCATACTTGGAGTAGTATTGGGGCTGCTAAATGTTTTGCTTGTTAATTCTGTCTTTTATATATATATATATATATATATGTGTGTGTGTGACTTTTTTAATCCTGAAAGTACTCATTAATTAATCTGTGTGGTCCACATGTGCTGGAAACTGGCAGCAGCTTCCAAGCATTAAGTTCAAATAGCTTCCAGTTAAACCTGAGAGATTTAGAAATCCCTCCATTGCAATGCAACAGGGTTTTTTGGTAAATGTAAATGGGAATAACAATCTTTTTGTTTTAGTAAATGCACCATAAATTAATCAAACATCAAAATACATTTGGTTGCAATGCAGTTAGGGTTTTCTATATATCGAGTCTAACTAGAGAGGATTTGAAATCCCTTGCCTTCAGGGAAAGCCACATATCCATGCTGGGAGAATGTTCTGATTTTTTTCATTATCTATATTATATAACTAGCAACCCTTGATTTAGTTGAAGCTAGATTTATGATTAATTAATTAAACCTTTATTTGGTTTTCCTTAAACCTATCATAGTGTTGGATGTAAATGTTAAAGGAAAATGAGATCATCAACTCAGTTGGAGACATTACTCAATATCTCATTCCTTGTGCGACAAGGGGATGATGATTAAAAGGATACCAGTTGAGCAATTAACAGATTTCTTAGAACTTCTCCTGTATTGCCATGCATCCCTTCTTAAGCAGGTTTCCCCACTGAAAGGATCACAAAATAAGAAAGGTTTAGGGGGATTCTTCTAATGAATGCAGTAATTAAGGCTTTGTTCCATTAATCATGGAGCTCACTTCAGTAGAAATTCAAATAAATCATTGTTAAAACACAGAAGTACTAGCTAGAGGATTTAATGTCCACCAGCCAGCTTCGGAATTTTGCTCTATCATAAAGTTAGAGCCAAACAGCAGAAACCAGAAACTTGTGGAATTGGGCCCTTTTGGCCCTGATTAAAAAGCCTATTTTAAAGGAAAATGCACAGTGTATGCCAACTTTTCAGGTCTCCATTCTATAAGAGCCAACTTTGCAAAAGGATTTCATCTTTTATATTAATCTAATTCCAATACAGGACAAAATGACATGCCCTCCTGATGAATTGTTTGTAACAATATAACACCAAGATTAAGAAAAGTAAAAAATTCAGGTAGGGATCTGTTTTAATTAAAGGTGAATATGCATTTAATACAGTCGTGTTTTAGAAATCAGACTGAAAAAAAATAGTGTATTTTATTTTATTTTTTGGAAGAATATGTGATGTATGTAGAATTAATCTATTAAAATGTGCATAATTATATTAAAATATTACAAAATATACTCAAAACGAATTAAAAATATTGTATTTGGGCCTTGCAATATTATTATTTTTGTAATTAATTGCTTATGCCCTTGAGGGGTACTAGATACCCTTCTTTCTCTAAGTAAGGCATCTTCTTGAATTTGTACTAAAATGGAATTAGACCTCATCAAAAGTTGTCTTGAACAGTATTTTTCACTGTTCCCACTTCCCACAACAAATAAATGATATAGGGGTTACTCAAAAATAAATGAAATTGTTGAAGGTAAACTGGAGAGAGAGAGAGAGATCGCCTTCACCAACACCAGCACTGGTGGACTTGTCAGGCCTTACTAGCAGATGGGGTCAGCAGGAATTGTCCACGGATCAGACCCCTCCATTATAGGTCCCACCACACCCCCTTACCAGCCCAAAAGGAACCCACCTCTCCTCCTCCCTCTTCCTATTTTTCCTCCACCGGGTCTACTCTCTTCCCTCTTCCCTCTTCCCTCTTACTCCATTTTCCAAGGTGGCTCAGGATCACTGCACCCTCCTTCCCCTTCCACCACCTCCTCCTGCTAATCTACTCCTGCTAGCCATCTATCTTCATAGACCTTTCAATGGAAAAAGCTGAGAGGGAAACTCATGACTTCATGAACGTAGATTCCTTCTCTCAGTTACCCTTCATTCGCCCTGCGCCCGTTAAAGAAAAGGGCATTCGACTCTTTGGTATTGAATTCGGTGGAGATGTTGCCACCGCCGACGAGTCCGAGTCAGTCGAGACCAACGTGACTGAGGATGCCAAGGACAACGACAACGGTGAGAGCGGCCGAAAATTCGAGTGCCATTACTGCTGTCGAAACTTCCCTACGTCTCAGGCTCTGGGAGGCCATCAGAATGCTCACAAACGTGAGCGTCAGCATGCCAAACGAGCACACCTCCAGACGGCCATGGCGCAGAGCGGCATCCCTGACGGGCACGTCTACGGCCTTGTTAATTACCGGCAGCTGGGTTCCACTGCAACACCAACGCTGACCTACCGTTCTTGGACCAACACCAACGTCATCCCTACTAACAACCGATTTTACGGTAGCCACCATAGCTCCTTCCCTCAGCAGCAACCACCCATCAACGGCAGCCCCTTGGCCTTGTGGAGAATCCCACCCGCTCAGAGCTCCCCGAATTTCAGCAACCTGGACCGTTCTTCACTGCTTCCGTTGTTTTCAGAAGACGATGACTCCAGACCAGCACCCATCGGTGGTGGCTCTACTGCTACTCATCAAGGGCGACATATGTACGAGGCCAAGAAATCAAACGTACAAGACCATGTGAGTTTGGATCTGCATCTGTAATCCTTTAGTTCTCATGAGGAAAGAAAAAAAAAATGAAAAACGAAAAAAAAGAAACAAGAAATTGGCATTTTCTGATCAAATGCATCGATCTGTTTCTTTGCTTCTCAACCCAACGCATGTGGTGCCTGTGCGAGGCAATCTTAAGCAAACCCATTATTGTTTCTTGAGCAAAGTATCATAATTTTAGTATGAATTAACGTATAAATGGAGTACTTTTGTTGATTTGCGTTAAATTAGTTCGAAAGATAACAAAATCATGAGGAGATGGAACCCTTTAATTAGTGCAACCCCTCCCTGTGTTAGGAGAACTATACTGGTCACACATGCGCCGTTATTAAGAATTCTGTGACGTGGGTAGTTTTGTCTTCATCATTTTTGGGATCCAGACTACATTTTATGAATTCATATATACTAGAGGTTTTAAGTGAGTGAGATTCGATGATGGAATCAGGTGGTAGCAAACAAGGGAATCTATTGCTAGCTCGTAAAATAAATTCTGATGCTCTCACTCAGAAGCGGAAAGAAACAGATGAATTCGCCATGGCAGTTGCAGTTATTAGCTGCTGCTAGCACAGTTTGCATCCTTGCACTACTTTAAATATGCCAATACCTTTTTCCATTTAATGGGTTTTAAGCTTGATCTACAATTATTTGTATGTCACTCTAATTTCTGATTTCTCTGTGTGTGTGCGTGAGAGAGAGAGAGAGATGTTTATATAAATTACATTCGATCAACATTTACTGCCAAAGTAGGCCCAAAACAGAAGTGGAGGTTTTGGTGCTTCCAGTTTCTGGGGCTGATCGAGGAGGTAGTAAAGCTTCTGTGGAGACAAAGATTTCACGTTGGCATGGGATTTGGTTAATGAGGAGTGGTCTAGCCAGTTGGAAATTGCCAAACCCAAAACAACATGATTCTGAACCAGGTGAAGAGCTGTCCATAGTCTATCACCTTGATATGGCATAAGCAGCTGGACGGGTAGCCCGAACTCTAAAAGGCCTGATTTGATCTAGTCAATGGCTCTGGGCAAGGACATAGAACCTGTTTAGAGTGTAGACTAGGATATATGGGAATAACCAATCAGAGATTGGATCGATCAAGACTCGAGAAACTTCGACCTTTGCTGGCAGTTTTGAGGCCACTATTTACAAGTAAACAGGAGGATAAAGAAACCCATATAACCCGACACATGACAACTGTCCGATATGTCATCTGACACAATTTACCAAGGTTGATGATCTCTCTATTTATATGTGGGACCCTCAGTTGACATCTGACTAAGTGAAAACAGATGGCTCTGATGTGGACTCATCGTCCAAAAGTTTTGGGTTGTGGCACTGATCGAGATTGTGATCATTCACCTTTAAAGAAGCATCATCGATCATTGGTAAAGGACTAGGGGAGAGGAAGGGATATATAGGGAGGCAATGGGTGATGACTGATGACTTCTCTCTCTTCTCTTTCTCTGTCTGTTTTTCTTCTTTTAACTAATAATAAAAACTCAATTATTCTTCACTACCAGACCAGACCAGACCGATGGACGACAGTGTGGCACCAAAGCTTCTTTCTAGGCTTGAAAATAACAAAACTGGCCACGAAAGAGATGTTTCCGGGGCACCATAGTCTTTGAAGAAACACATGAACATGGTAATTAAGACTGAAATTTCATCTTTTCTAAATTTTGAATTGTTGTAGGTCTACAGTGGAATTTAGAATTCTGAAGTGAATTTTCTATTATTGCTGCCTTTTGTACGTACCCCAGGTACATCTCTTCTCTTCTACATGTGTTCATGGCTGCATGTGCGTGTCCTTAGTCATAAAGATATTTATTTGCAACAGTACTACTGCTACTGGTCTGATCTGTCTCTCATGGACGACAAGGCCTCCAAAGCCTCTTATATATATTTGGTGTGCCCACAGACAGACAGACAGACTGAGAGTTATTAGCAGAGAAAGCTTCATCTGTTTTGAAATATTATATTGTAGCAGAGAAAGCTTCTGCTACAATATTTGAGCAACCTAAGAAAAAAAAAAAAAAAACACCCACCCAGTTTAGTTGAAACAAACACTGCTGCCTGTATATATAGCTAAACGACTGAAGTTTAGTGAATTCATCATCAGAATTCCCTTCTTTGAAATTCATCACTAACCATCTTAATTGGTTACAGACATCTACTACTTGATACGATCAGTTCCTTGCATTTATACGTCAACATATTAAAGAACCACCAATAATTAAACACTTCAGTCACTGGAGACCGACTTTGTTCAGGGCTCAAGAACAAATACTTTGCATGCAAGTGGGAGTTGCACCGTTTACCACCAATCAACACTGAGAGGATGAAACGTGGAATCTCCTCCGACCATCATTCTGAGTCGTCACGGTAGTCATTGGTCGTCTCTTCCATGAACTGCTTTTTGAATATACTTTCTGCTTGAACAGAGATATTTCATCAGTAGAACTAGGTTGACCTCAACTACTAGACTAGTACTATGCGATAACGACGCGAATGAACCCAAACGCTCCATGAAGTCAGTGTTCGACCGGCAACTCTTCAACCAATTAATTTTTCTTTTTCATGTTGGGTTGACTAATATTCCAAGCCCGGCCGGTCCAAGTTCAACCCAATGCCAGTTAGCCAGTTCAGACCGGATTGGTCGACGGTGTTTTCCACCCAGACCGGACTAGTAAGGTTGGTCCGGTACTAGCGAAGACTACTTCAATTGGGTAATTGCTATTCAACTTCCAAGGCGAAATGCCAACTGCCTAACTTAAGCCTGTGATGGGGAAATGAAGTGGGGACCCAAACCCAATTCCCTACTGGCTAGAGAAAAGGAAAATCCATAGCCAAACAAGAAAAGAAATGAAATTGCTTTAATTTCCTTTCAGAGATTGCTCATCTCACCTAATGTAGAAGCTGTTAGAATAAAGCATACCTCACCATGGCGTACAATTGACAGTCTTTAACAGGAAAGGTCATAATCATGAAGATGAAGGCTTGAGACTCATTACCCAACCTACAAATAAGAACAATACGATGTGTCCATCTCTCTTTCTTTCTTTCTTTCTTCTTTAGTTTGCTAATTAGGAATCCAAATTTTCTGTTGCACATGATCAACAAGCAATCACATTATAAGAAGGCAGTACACATTCATATATAGTTGTTGTTACAATCAATGGGAAATCAAACTGTTCACTAATTTACTATTCCACTTACAAATGACAAAACCATGAAAATGAATGCCAACTACTTTATTCTGTGTGGAAAACTATATCATTAATTCTCTTCTATTTGGTAATACGATTTAACAGTTCCTTAAAGATCAAAAGTTGTGTCATGTCTCAACCATAAGCAACTGCATACTATTCTGAAATACATTCAGTAGGTGGAATCCTGTTATCAGCCAAATTTAGAAGTTCTTTCTCCTCAGAGAGAGAGAGAGAGAGACCAACTCAAGAACCTGCCATATTTTATTCTGGATTTTGGTTTCATTAATTCCAACCAATTTAAATTTTGTTTTACCCGTTGGAGCAGGCCCGGTCTTGCTGCGAGGAACCACCGACTGAAATTATATATCCTGAATTAATAAAATAATGAATTAAAAAAAAGGATAATTTATTAAGGCACCCTATAGCTTTGGATATTGATCGAGACATACCCTTCAGTTTGCATATTACTAAAAACACCCCTGATAATTTGTAACTATTTTTACTTAATCCACCTACCATCGAAACCCTTGTACATCCATTTATATAAAAATACCCCTAACAAGAGCCATAGCTCTAGCATCAGTTGTAATGGTCCCAAACATTCTTTCAATGACAACATGTCAAATAATAGAGACCCCATTAAACTTTTGAATAGGGATGGCAACCTTTTCCATTTCCCTGATCCCCATGAAGATTATTTATCCTAAATGGGGTGGGATGGGAAGATTGGACTGGGGAGAGCATTCCCTCCCTGTGGGATCTCCACTTAGTAAAATTACTAAAATACCTTTAATATATCAAACCATTGAGACTCCATATGTATTTATTTCTTTAATTATTTCCTCATGTACTAATTGATTACCAAGGCTTTATGTTGAATATGTGTGATTTTCTTATTAATTAGTTAATTAATTTTGGCTAATATCTTTAAAGTTGAATATGTTTATATATATATATATATATATATATATGTATGTATGTGTGTGTGGATCTAATTTATAGAATTGAAAATTGTAACTATTTTATTTTTAGCAAAAAAATTGAAATGAAGTAGAAATAAAAAATAAATTGAATTTGAGATCATAAGAAAAAGGCAGAGAGTGGGGATCCCCATGGGGACGGGAATGGAGACCCATTACAACTGATGCTTGTTAATTAAGGGTATTTTCAGAATAAAAAACATGCCCAAAATGATATACAAACAGTTCTTCGCTGTAAGTGAATTAAAGAAAGTGATTGCAAAAGTAAAGGGGTAGCACAAACTAAAGAGTACGTCTAAGTAAATACATGAAACTACATATAGGGGGTGTAAGTGATTAGGGGTGTCAATGGAGGTTTTGGATGGACTGGACGGACCAATAAGACATTGAATTGGACCTGTCCAAACTTAATAGTCCAAAGTATTTATTGAATTGGATTGGACATGGTCTATCTGTTATGAATATTTATATTGGATTGGGTTGGATTAAGCCAATACCTGACCCATTAATAGAATATAAGAATATAAACTAAAACAAATCTGAACAGATAGGACAGTCAAGACATTGAATTGGATCGGTTCAGAATGGTCCAAAATGTTCATTGGATTGGATTGGACCTGGTCCATTTGTAATGGACTCACATTGAACTGGATTGGATTGGACCAAATCTAGTCCAAATGGCACCGCTAAATGACCCTAAAAATAATTTTATTCAACTTGAATATATGATTTTCTTTGGGAAGAGTGCAAACAAATATGTGTAGTGCTATACAGTATTTCTAAACCTTCTATTTGCACTTTTCCCAAACCTTAAGCTGTGTTTGGTTGCGGTGCAAATTTATTTGCACTAATACAAATGCATAGGAGTGCAAATGAAAAAAAATGCAATTTTTCATTTAATTTTGTCAGAATTTGAAACTCAAAACATTTGCACTGCCATAGTTTTGCAGCAGTGCAAATTTATTTGTATTGCAACCAAACACAGCCTTAGGCTCAGTTTGAAAGGAGTACAAATACAAATATATAAATTACAAAAGTTTATATTTTGTATGTATTTGTACTGTACATATTTGTATTTATAATTTTGTACTCCTTGCAAAATGAGCATTAGTTAATTACTACATTCCAACCAATTCAAATTGAATCATATCAATTCGGATTAGGGTGAATTTAGGGAGTTTTTTTTTTTTTTGGTTCAAAACCCATCCTTCAAAAAGTGATCCTTTGAAGCAGAATTTTAACCAAATTTGGCCTAAGCCATAGATATCTATGAAACCATTGGGATGAAACCAAGAAAACAATTATATATTTGGGTCCTCCAACCTAGATTATATAAGAATTTGGAAGCTTATTGTGGTAGTTGGAAGCAATGCTAGAAAAGACCTATGTAATGCACGGGCTGGTGTTAAGATGTCCATGTTACATTCAATTTTTTAACTGAATTGGTTGTGGGTGAACTTGGATAGTCCTATAATTATTTTGTACGTTTAAAATTCAGAAAAAATTGGAGCATTTAGAATATAAGGAGTCTGATGTGGATAATTGCATCTAGAATATAATATAGATAGATTGGAGCATTACTAAATTATGACAAATATATAGATGGAATGGAATTTGGAGTTCGAATACTAAATATACATTTTGATGTAGGCGCACATGATAGGCTCCGGATTGTGCCACGTGGCATCAGCAGATAGACTCCTGGCCATCCATCTCTAACTGCCTCCAACCACTCCATGGCAATGTCAATTATAAAAGGGGGTGCCCAATTCAAGGTAAATCCATCTTGTTCACTCTTGTTTTTTTGCATTTTTACTTTCGAGAAATCTCGTCTAAGCTCTTAAAGACTAAACTTTGAGCCCTTGTCTCATGTCTCGTTCGACTCCTCTTTAGCACCTGACTAACTTGATCGTCGAAATCTCCACCCCTAAGATAACACTCGAGGCCTTTGATGTATAATCTTCTCCTGCTCACAAGTTGGATTCATTGGCCTCGAACATCAATTAAATTACTTTATTGTCCTCAGCTCCATTCTTAAAAGCAACAATTTCAAAAACTAACTAGCTCATAACTGCAATATGTTGTTCTTCTCCATTTTTTAACTCGTTCAATAAACCCACCAATTGATGCATTTAGGAGAAGAAACATACGAGACACTGGTGAGGATAAAAGGAAGCAGAGAGGGGTGGGAGAAGGAATTGAAGAATAAAAAATGAATAAAAAGAAAGAAGGGGCAGAAAAGAGTACAATACATTATCATTATCATTAGGACCACTTCGGAAAATTGACAGAAGAGGCCCCTTGTTTAGTGACTTGTCGAGAATTTAAGCAATTGTCGGTCCACAGCCCCATACAACTTTGTAAAACGAGGTAAGAAGATAGTTTCTACAGTGTTTTATGGATGGGATGCTTCTAACATGCGCCTCCTGTGCAATGTGACACCTAACCACTTCTGTCGTATATAAGCCCTACTGACAGTACTAGTTAGTGTATATTGTAGTAAATACGTGCCCTTCGTAGTCCGGATCTATTGTCCATGAAAATTCTGTTCACGTTAATCATCGCAGTTATACATGGAGAATACCTCATCTTCGGCATAGTATTATGCAGGGGAGATGTTTCCGATTCACGGGGATAATATAGTATGAATAGGCATGTATAGAATTCTCATAAACAGGAGATTCGGAGTCATATGATAGAGCCATTGCCCATTGGTCGGCTCCTTGGGCTCCTGTTTGGTTGCCTTCATTTTAACCTTCAAATGGCTGGAAGAAACATATGGCCCCCCTCCCTTTCAACTATTTATTGATCTAGTGGGCATTCACATTTTAGTATAAAATCCAAATTGCCAATTGAGTTTCTCTTTTCATTTCCTTTTTTTTTTTTTTTCTGCCTGGGTTGTTTTATTACTTCTCTTAAACTCATTCAATTCAATGTGGAGTTTCAATGAATTCGTTGGTTTTCATGATCTCACCATTTATCAAAGGTATAGACAAATACTGGGTCCCCTTAATTAATTCTAACTTAATCAAAGATGCAACCCATTTGATCCCCTCAATTTAATTTTGCACTAATCTGCCAAGGCATGGAAAAAAGTTAATTACGTGGGTGAATCAATTAGTAGTTCAAATTAATTTCAAAGGAAGCAAATTGAGATGGTGTATTGTAAATTAAGGGTCCGTTTGATTTGTAATCGGATTTGAAATCAGAATTGGAATCAAAATTCTTCAGAATCAGAATCTGAATTATCTATTTTAATAATCAGTTTAGTTCAGACATGAATGAGAATGAAAATTAGAATCAGCAGGAGTAGCATTTCATTCCTAAGAGAAGGATAGAGAATATGTAGTCTTTTAAATGGGAAAATGCCATTCTAACAAAAATGAGAATAAAATTCTAGTTCTCTAAAATCAAACAGTTGGAATTGAAATAACCAAATAAAAAATTCTGATTCCAGACCCCTATTGCCGCAAACCAAACTGGACCTAAGACCCCATCAAGCGCATGAGATGAGAATCTGTTTTGTCCTTCCTCACCACCTCTCAATAACCCGACCCACACCCCAACTGTTTCTCTCTCTATGTATTATGTGTAGGGATTTGTGCCACGTCTAGAGCATAGAGACTTCACAAATAGTAAGTGGAGGCACAAACATGGAGCCAACAGCATCATTTCTGATCATCAATGAAGGGGAACAGTGGGGTACTACACATGATAAACATGGATAGGCTAACCCACATACATATCCCATCCCATCAGGTACGAATCACACTTGTGGATCCAGCTCCATCATCCTTAATGAAGTGGGGTAGTGCTTTCCCAACATCGTACACTTGCTTCACTTGAGCATTAATTTACCCTGTTTAATTTTCTGGCCACTCTCGTACATTGCTTGAATCAGAGCCTCAATGCTCCAAATGAAAAATGATGAAATAATCAGACCCACCTCTCTTACCTTTTTCTTTTGATTACCAAGGATATAATCAATCAGTATTTGAACTATTTCTCTACTTTTCGGAGGCATTTGCTATAGGGATTTGGGCTATGTTTGGTTTCAAAAAGAAAGACAATATTATATGAGAAATGGGAAAAGTTTTGACTAATCACAATCCTAATGAATTTTGATGAAAATCTACCTAATTGATTTCTACTTTTATGATACCTGGCTGATTGGTTGTAAGTTTTTCTGGTGTCATAATCGAATCCATATTATATATACCTTAATTAATAATTTTCACTCAACTTTCTGTTTTTCTCTTGTCTTCTATCAAACCAAACACAGTTTTAAAGTAAAATTGTGAGTGAATAAGGGGTAGGGAGGTACTACTCTTGATAAAACTTTACCTACCCCACCCTAAGAATATGGGAAAGTGAAACATACATCAGCACAACTACTGATGATACGTACTACTACTGCAAAGGCAATGGAAATATGGAATTAACAGTTAAGCCGAACTATGTACAGTGAGTGACTGTGTCTGCCATGGAATGGAGCAAGATTTTATGTTCTTTGTTACGTTGTATCTAATCACAATCTCCAATCAAATCGGATTGCGATGACATCTACATTGCATTCACAAAAGAAGCCATCAGAGTGCAAAAGCAGCTTGGGAATCAGAGTTTTAGGCTTGCTTTGGAAGGACTATTATATTTTGTATTATTTATATTTTATATATTTGTATTTGTATTTTTTTTTAAACTAAGTTTGAAAGGAGTATAAATACAAATATATAGAAAGATTTTGTACTATTTTGTATATATTTATACTGTATATATTTGTAGGGGTGTCAATGAACCGATTTTGGGTTGGACACCATCCGAATTAGAAGTAATATGGACGGATCAGACGGTCCTAAAAAATGATATGGACGCGGACCGGTCCGAACATAAATCGTCCATTCATAGAATGGACCGAAAGTGGACAAAGCCACTAGTTCGAATGGTCCGTTCATTTTCGTAAGCGTCAAACATAGAAACTTTCAAAGAGTCGAAGCTCGAAGGTTAGGGTTCAGCGCCTCTGCACCTCCATCGTTCCATCCTCAGTATCACCGGCAGACGGCGGTATTTCGTTTGAAGCTTTGGACGAACTCCGGCCGTATTTCCCTTTCTCCGTCGATCTTCCTTTTACCCTCTCACTTTCTCCAACAACAGAGCTTCTTCTTCTCTCAGCGCCTCCTCACCTTCTCTAGTGACAGCAGTACAACACTCTCTCTTCTCTCAATGCCCTCTCACTTTCTCCAGCGGCAACAACACTCCCTCTTCACTCAGGCAATCATATTTTGGTGATTTTTTTCTCTTGCATCTTGCTCTCAAGTGATAGTCTCATCTGACCTCTACGATTTGTTCATTGAGGTATCCTTTGTCATTAGAACCTAGCACAGAGTTTGGTAGATACTCTCCTAATTTTAATTGTAGACAACAATACATGGTTCTGTATGAATATTTATTTGCTATAGTCTGAATATTTCTTGGAATATCTTAAATATTTATGTTTGAATATTCAATGGTTCTGTTTGGATATTTCTTGGAATGCCAATGGTTCTGTTTGAATATTTCTTGAATATTTGTTTGCTACAGAGTTTGGTAGAACCTAGCACAGAGTTTGCTACAGTCTGAATATTTGTTTGCTACAGCTCGAGATTTGAATTTTGAATTTCTAATTTTGTGCCATTAAATATTTTTATC